CTATCCATCTATCATCCATCCATCCATCCATATCTATCCATCTATCTGTCTGTCTGTCTGTCTGTCTGTCTATATCTATCTATCTATCTATCTATCTATCGTATCTATCGTATCTACCTATACTATCTATGTATCTATCTCTATCTATCTATCTATCTTATTATCTATCTATCTATATATATATCTATATATCTATATACCTACTACCTACCTATTATCTATCTATCTTATTATCTATCTTTATCTATCTATCTATCTATCTATCTATCTATCTATCTATATATATATCTATCTATTATCTATCTATCCATCTGTTTATTCTCTTATCCATCCTTCTATCTTATCTATCCATCTATCTATCCATCCCTCCATCCGTCCGTCTGTCTGTCCCTCCCTCCTACCATCCTTCTACATGCACGCACTCACTCACTCTCTCTCTCTCTCTCATCTATCTCTTCTATCGATCAATCATCACCTATTCTATATCTGGAGCAGTAGTGGGTTTCAATTTAGTTTGCTACCGGTTCGCTCGTGCGCGGGAAACTTCTGTGCATGCACAGAAGCCTCCTGCCACCGCTACCGGTTCTCCCGATCCAATAGCAACCCACCACTGATCTGGTGGTGCAGTGGTTAGAACGCAGTATTATCAGGCTAACTCACAGCCAACTGCCAGCAGTTCGATCCTGACCGGCTCAAGGTTGACTCAGTCATTCCCCACCTTCCTAGGTCGGTAACTTGAGGACCCAGATTGTTGGGTCTGTCTCTCATCTACCTAACTGAGACGTGGTGGCACAGTGGTTAGAGTGCAGTATTGCAGGCTAACTCATTGCTCACTGCCAGGAGTTCGATTCTCACCGGGTTAAGGTTGACTCAACCTTCCCTCCTTCCGAGGTTGGTAAAATGAAGACCCAGCTGGGAAGACCCAGAGGCTGCTTAGAGAGGGCTACAACGTGGTTGTTTGCCCTGCTGTTGCCCAGATTTGTCTGATTTTTATTTTTTTTGTAAATATTTTTTTATTTTTTCCCAAACATAAACATAAAATATAACTTTCAAGAACAGAGTTTCGATCCGGTCATAGATGGTTAACATGCTTACATTCATTTAACACACTCTATTCCACTTTTCCATTACATCTTTTAAAAATTTAAGACAGGAAAAAAAAAAAAAGAAAGAAAAAAGACAAATTTAAACATAAAATTCTAACATTTTCGTCTAAACAAGTCTAATATATCAATACAATTTTAACTTCAAATTAAATTTTAACTCATTATGTCGATATCTCATCGATGTCCAATTCGTTGTTAACAATCTTCTAGTCTCTTATTCTAATTATATACCTTACAATTTTTATCACCAGAATTATCAAGTTGAATTTTAATACAAGTCCATTTCGTTGAGATTTATAAAACACAATTTTATCAACTTCTTAATCATTTGGCCCTGTTTATCAAACAGGGATCTGTCTGATTAAGGCTAATCAGTTGCAGGGCATCATCGGGGACGGGTGTTAACTCATCGCTATGTCGCAGACAACATCCCTGCGAACCGTTACGCTGATTTCTCAGCTGGCCAGGGAAAGAGGTCAGATGGATTTTCTCACGCAGGGAACTGACGGGACACTCAGATCCCCGTGGAATAAGTTGCCCTGGAAGCGGGAGAACATTTGTACAAGGAGTTTTGGATTTTCCACTGGGTATTTTATTTTATTTTATTTTATTTTATTTTATTTTATTTTATTTTATTTTATTTTATTTTATTTTATTTTATTTTATTTTATTTTATTTATCTATCTATCTATCTATCTATCTATCTATCTATCTATCTATCTATCTATCTATTTATTTAAAATGCTTGATCTCTATAAGGGAAAATCCCAAAACGAAGCGCTTTTGTACTGCTTGGGAAAAAACTCAGAATAACAGAGTTGGAAGAGAGACCTTTGGAGGTCATCTAGTCCAACCCCCACCCACCCACCCACCCACCCAAGCAGAAAACCCAACACCAGTGACGGCTAACGTTTTTGCACCAGAGCACAGGAATCTGGAAGAAAGCAGCTAGCTGTGGGGCATATGCGTGTGGCACCCAGCCGCGCTTCTGGGTTCCCTCGCACACGTCCATGCCGGCCAGCCTGCTCTCTTCGGGGTTCTTGCACACGCATGTGTGCTGCAAAGCTGGTGTTCGCACATGCATGCACTGGAACCCAGAAGAGAGGAGATGGCCAGTGCGCATGCGCATGACGGAACCCGGAAGAGCAGCTGGTGACGGCGCCTGTGCCCACAGAGAGGGCCCTGCGTGCCACTTCTGGCACACGTGCCATTGGTTCGCCATCACGGCCCTACACCATTTCTGACAGGTGTCAATCCAGTCTCTTCTTGAAAGCCTCCAGTGATGAAGCTCCCACAACTTCCGAAGGCCGATAGTCCCGCTTTATGCATGAAGGCTGACTGGGTGACTTTGGGCCAATCACCAGGAGACGGTGAGTTCTAGTCCCGCCTTAGGCATGAAAGCCAGCTGGGTGACTTTGGGCCAATCACCAGGAGACGGTGAGTTCTAGTCCCACCTCAGGCATGAAAGCCGGCTGGGTGACTTTGGGCCAATCACCAGGAGACTGGGAGTTCTAGTCCCACCTCAGGCATGAAAGCCGGCTGGGTGACTTTGGGCCAATTACCAGGAGACTGGGAGTTCTAGTCCCGCCTTAGGCATGAAAGCCAGCTGGGTGACTTTGGGCCAATCACCAGGAGACTGGGAGTTCTAGTCCCGCCTTAGGCATGAAAGCCAGTTGGGTGACTTTGGGCCAATCACCAGGAGACGGTGAGTTCTAGTCCCGCCTTAGGCATGAAAGCCAGCTGGGTGACTTTGGGCCAATCACCAGGAGACGGTGAGTTCTAGTCCCGCCTTAGGCATGAAAGCCAGCTGGGTGACTTTGGGCCAATCACCAGGAGACTGGGAGTTCTAGTCCCACCTCAGGCATGAAAGCCGGCTGGGTGACTTTGGGCCAATTACCAGGAGACTGGGAGTTCTAGTCCCGCCTTAGGCATGAAAGCCGGCTGGGTGACTTTGGGCCAATCACCAGGAGACGGTGAGTTCTAGTCCCACCTCAGGCATGAAAGCCGGCTGGGTGACTTTGGGCCAATCACCAGGAGACTGGGAGTTCTAGTCCCACCTCAGGCATGAAAGCTGGCTGGGTGTCTTTGGGCTCTGTCCCTCCCCAGTCATTCTTGCAAACCATTGCTCACTTTTTTCTTCTCGAAAGCCCGTGAAACTTCTGGTTAGAGCGAATGCATCAAAAATAGCAAAACAACAACAACAAACAATTGGCTGCGATTTATCCCCCTTGTGAGCAAAACAGCAAAAGGATCAAAATAAAACAAACAGCTGCAGCCTCTTCAATGTGATAAATAAATAAGCATCTTGCAAAGCCACAAAAAGCCTCTTCAGGCATATTTATGACATCTGCCGTTCCTTCCCCGGCTTCCTGGTCCTTTCAGCCACTACAAAAATGGACACACACATGCACACCGGCTGAGAAATGGGAGCCCCCTTAAAATGGCTCATCCATCCCAAGTTTCAAGAACCTTCCTTTATTCGTTACCGTGTAGATGTGGAAGCCCATGGGTTAGGGTGAGGGTTTGGGTGAGGTGTGATTTAGGGCGAGAGTGAGGTTTAGATTTAGGATGAAGGTGAGGGTTTGGGGTGAGGTTGAGGGTTAGAATTCGGGTTTGGGTGAGGGTGAGGTTTAGGGTTAGGATGAAGGTGAGGGTTAGGATGAGGGTTAGGATGAGGGTGAGGGTGAGGTTTAGGGTGAGGGTGAGGTTTAGGGTGAGGGTGAGGTTTAGGGTTAGGATGAAGGTGAGGTTTAGGGTGAGGGTTAGGATGAAGGTGAGGGTTAGGATGAGGGTGAGGTTTAGGGTGAGGGTGAGGTTTAGGGTTAGGATGAAGGTGGGGGTTAGGGTGAGGGTTAGGGTGAGGGTAGGATGAGGGTGAGGGTGAGGTTTAGGGTTAGGATGAAGGTGAGGGTTAGGGTGAGGGTTAGGATGAAGGTGAGGGTTAGGATGAGGGTGAGGTTTAGGGTGAGGGTGAGGTTTAGGGTTAGGATGAAGGTGAGGGTTAGGATGAGGGTTAGGGTGAGGGTGAGGGTGAGGGTGAGGTTTAGGGTTAGGATGAAAGTGAGGGTTAGGATGAGGGTGAGGTTTAGGGTGAGGGTGAAGTTTAGGGTGAGGGTGAGGTTTAGGATTAGGATGAAGGTGATGGTGAGGGGAAAATCGTTGTAATGATTGTTAAAACTTTTTAAATAAAAAAAAAGTTTCCAAGGTTAAAAAATACTGGCCTAGTCAGGGAATTCTGGGAGTTGAAGTCTTATCTTAAAACATGATAGGTGGGGAATTCTGGGAGTTGAACTCCCCACCTCTTAAAGTAGTCAAGCTCGAGAAACACTCGTTTGACTAGGGAATTCTGGGACTCGAAGTCCATCTATCTTAAAAGATGATGGTTGGGGAATCCTGGGAGTTGAAGCCCACAGATCTTAAAGCTGCCAAAATTTGAGAAATCCTGGCCTAACCAACCCACCGCCCAACCTCCCTCTCCTTTACCTTCCTGGTGCCTTGACCAATTCCCTCCGAATGTGGCACCCCCCCTTGGCATTTCTCTGGTGCAACCTGCCAGTTTAAAATGAAAAGGCGAGCGAGTCCGTTTCGCTCGTCCTGGCCCCAGCTCAAGGTGGCTGGCGGCTCTGGTGGGTCGGATCCGAGCCCCGAAATAACCCCCTGCCTGCTCGCCTGTCTTGAGGCTCCGAAACGGGCTGCGGTGGCTGCTTCTGCAACCGGAGGAAGATCCCGCTTTGACGGGCATCAAGAGTTCACCGGGGATAGTGCGTCATTTTCTGCGTTCTGTTTGCTGAATTTCTCCTCCCGTCCAGCCAGCCTGGCAGGCCAGCAGACAGCAGAATGGACTGTCCTTTGAACCGGGGCCAACAAGAACAGGTGGCCACAGAGACAGCGAGTAGCGGCGGGCTCATAATTCTACCCAACGCCTTGGGTAGAAGAGACTTCCCTCTCCCTGCCCTTAATCCGGCTCCGTTACACGGGTGTAGAAGGGGACGCGGCCGAAGACCCTCGTCGACGGGGACGGTGGCCACTTCTGCTCGGTGGCCTTGCCCAGGGGATGGTGAGAGGGCCACACGGACATCCCTGCTCTCGACCTCTGGGTGAGTTCCTTGCAGGGCTCCTCACCTGCCCAGGTCAAGTCCAGTTGAGGTGGTCCAACCAGCTGGTTTGGGGGCAGGGGAGGTCCCCCCAAAAGAAGCCCACGGGAGACTTTTCTGGCTCAAGCCTGGTTGATATGAGCAACCAAGTCTTCAGGGTACCACTGCACACCTCTGCTCTGGGCTGCTCTACCTCAAAACATCTCCAGAACTTCCTGGAGAACTTCAGCCAAATCCTTCTAACGGCGGTCGGGCAAGGCGAGATAACACCAGGGTTGGCTCGGTTGAGGGTAGCCAGGGGTGAGTCTTTCCTTCAACCTTCGTTTTGTGTCGCATGAGCTTTTTCTAGATGGGACCATGGCTAGGAGAACACCAGGCCCCACATAGTTCCTTCTGTCTGCTCAGCTTCTGGTCCAATCTAGTTGCCATCATCTAGAACCTTGAAGGTGGCCCATTTTCTCTTAACTCAGCCGTTCTGACCTGCACTAACCTGCACCTCTCTGGATTTTCTCGATCGATGGATTATCTGCCGTCAAGTTGGCGACAGCTCCCAGTGACGACAAATATACATTTCCCACATGCTGGGATTTTTCTAGGGTGCATGAAAAAGTTTTGGAAAAGTGGAATATGGTTTGCAGCTGGGTGCAGAGATTCCAGGGGGGGACACCGGATGGTCTTACTTTTCTGACGCATGGCGTGGCTTCTTGGGCCACGGAACGATTCCAAAATAGTGAAAAGACTTAACCGATCGAGAAAGGAAGACCTGGCAATGGGGCAGCAGCCGAAGGCAAAATTCAACTTTATGTAACGAGGAGTTTTCCTAAGGTCTCTGCGCTGAAGGTGGGGTAAAGGAATAGAATAGAGTAGAGTAGAGTAGAGTAGAGTAGAGTAGAGTAGAGTAGAGTAGAGTAGAGTAGAGTAGAGTAGAGTAGAGTAGAGAGTAGAATAGAAATAGAATAGAATAGAATAGAATAGAATAGAATAGAATAGAATAGAATAGAATAGAATAGAATAGAATCTCTTCTTGAAAGCCTCCAGTGATGAAGCCCCACAACTTCTGGTGGCAAGCAGTTCCACGGGCTAATTGTTCTCACTCTCAGGAAGTTCCTCCTTAATTAATCAAGCTTCTCTCCTTGATTAGTTTCCATCCGTTCTGCCTTCGGGTGCTTTGGAGAATAAGTTGACCCCCCCCCCCCCTCTTCTTTGTGGCAGCCCCTCAGATATTGGAAGACTCCTATCCTGTCCCCCCCCCACAAAGTCCTTCTTTTCCCTAGACTAGCCAAACCCAAATCATGCAGCCGTCCTTCGTATGTTTTAGTCTCCAGGCCTTCGATCCTCTTCGTTGCTCTTCCTTAAAAAGGGCAGCAGGCTGGCACGATGCCCTCCTTGGCACGATTTATCGATTAACGAAGCTGAAAAGGGAAGTGATTCCTTCATCAGCAGCGGAGTGGTGAATGAGGGCGCCGGAGTTGTTCCATTTGAAAAATACCTTCGCTTCTAGTTCCCTACGAGAAGGAAGGGCCAAAACTATATTAAGACAACCACGCCGAACAATGCTAGTTGTCCGTTACATGATGTCATCTCATACTCATCCAGGATTAACCCTGGTTTAGAAGCAGAGAGGCTGCAGGGAAGCATGTCAGTGGCAGCGGAATCGAAGCAATGTTTTGGAAATTTACAACAGGCACTTAAAAAAAAGAGAGACTTACGACCGTTTTTCCACACTTACGACGGCTGCAGCCTCCCCGCGCTCACCCGAATCAAAATTCAGATTCTTGGCATGATGGTTACAGCGTCCTGCAAAGGAATCCTGCCAAGGTGAAAATCCAGCAGGGTCTGACAGGAATAGCCGTCTCTTCCTGTTTTCCAGTCTTCAACTTTTATACCTTGAATGTCCTTATTTTTACCTTGAATGTCCGTATTTATTTCACCAAGCCGGCCTAGCCTAAATGGTTTTTAATTGGGTTTTTAAATTTTATAGACTTGGGGGTTTTAAATTGGGAAGCCAATGATTTAATTCTTTTTTAATTATCTTAACTTTTGTATTGTATGTATTTTTAATTTTGGCTGTTCACCGCCCTGAGTCCCTTCTGGGAGAAGGGCGGTATACAAATCGCCAAGGCTCAAGGTTGACTCAGCCTTCCATCCTTTCTAAGGTGGGTAAATTGAGGACCCAGATTGTGGGGGCAATAAGCTGACTTTGTATAAATATACAAAAGGATGAAGGCTATTGCTGAGCACACTGTAAGCCGCCCTGAGTCTCCGGAGAAGGGCGGCATATAAATCGAACCAATAAATAAATAAATAAATAAATAAACTTCAAACAATCGCTGAACAAATGAGCTCTGGTGGCTCAGCAGACTAAAAGCATTGTGATTAACACCAGCTGCCTGCAATTACTGCAGGTTCGAATCTCGCCAAGGCTCAAGGTTGACTCAGCCTTCCATCCTTTCTAAGGTGGGTAAATTGAGGACCCAGATTGTGGGGGCAATAAGCTGACTTTGTATAAATATACAAAAGGATGAAGGCTATTGCTTAACGCATTGTAAGCCGCCCTGAGTCTCCGGAGAAGGGCGGCATATAAATCGAACCAATAAATAAATAAATAAATAAATAAACTTCAAACAATCGCTGAACAAATGAGCTCTGGTGGCTCAGCAGACTAAAAGCATTGTGATTAACACCAGCTGCCTGCAATTACTGCAAGTTCAAATCTCACCAGGCTCAAGGTTGACTCAGCCTTCCATCCTTTCTAAGGTAGGTAAATTGAGGACCCAGTTTGTGGGGGCAATAAGCTGACTTTGCATAAATATACAAAAGGATGAAGGCTATTGCTGAGCACATTGTAAGCCGCCCTGAGTCTCCGGAGAAGGGCGGCATATAAGTCAAAATAAATAAATAAATAAATAAATAAATAAATAAATAAATAAATAAATAAATAAATAAATAAATAAATAAATAAATAAATATCCCAATGTCCTACTGGACTTTTCTACCAACAACTCTTAAAAAACGTCTTTTTCTTCGCAAAAAACAAACATTATCTCCCATCAGTTTCTTACACCAGGATTGAAGACACCTGACCTAAATTATCTTGGCTTTTTGTAGCATGGAGATACATACTGATCAACTGTTGTTTGTCTCCTGCAGGAATTGATCTGAAGTCCCCGGAAAGGAGAAGGGTCAGTTTGGAAGATCTCTACGGGATTCCCATTGGTGCAGGTGAACTTTCCAGAAGATGGAGAAGGATGGAGAAACCAGCAGTGTGCAGGATAGTGGGGAGGGGAGTAAATGTACTTCCGGAAGGTCCAGCCCAGGAGAAAGAGAAGCCAACAGACCAGGGCCAAGCTGAGAAAGAAGGTCCCTCAGGTGAGTCCCCGAAGTGAAGGACCACCAAGGTGAAGCCAAGGATGATCCAAAGAAGCCGTTGCACATCCAACACAGCTTCAGCTGCCCAGCAAAAGTGAACAGGTAACGTTCTTCTCCGCTACTTCCATTGAGTTGAGGTCCTTCTGCCAAGAGGTCCACCTGTGCAATGAGCAAAGCAAGGGGGGCATCTTAGAAAATGAGCTGGGGGGGGAAATCATGTGTGAAGTTGAGTGAGAAGTAGTCAACCAATTGGGGGAGGAGGAGGAGGTATGGGGTTTTTTTTTGGGAAGACGAGTGACTGCCTTTGAAACAGTCTGACAGTTTGGATGGATCCTACATGGAGACTGTTCATTGTGGGCTTCTGCTCTGGGCTACGTGGGCTTGGGATGAAGCCACACTGGGACCTTGAGAGGATTAGGAACCTCTTACAAGGTGTAGAGCAAGAGGTGGTGGAGGAGAAGGAGACAGGAGGAAGAGGAGGAAGAAGAAGAGACAGCAGGAGGAGGAGGAGGAAAAAGAGAGGAAGAGGAGAAGGAGAGAGGAGGAGGAGGAAGAGAAGGAGAAGGAGGCAGGAGGAGAAGGAGGAAGAGGAGGAGGAAGAGGAGAAGGAGGAGACAGCAGGAGGAGAGGAGGAAAAAGAGAGGAAGAGAAGGAGACAGGAGAAGGAGAAAGAGGAAGAGAAGGAGAAAAGGAGGCAGGAGGAGGAAAAGGAGGAAGAGGAGGAGAAGGAGGACGAGGAGAAGGAGGCAGGAGGAAGAGAAGGAAAAAGAGAGGAAGAGAAGGAGAAGGAGGCAGGAGGAGGAGAAGGAGGAGGAGGAAGAGAAGGAGAAGGAGGCAGAAGGAGGAAAAGGAGGAGGAGAAGGAGAAGGAGGCAGGAGGAGGAGAAGGAGGAGGAGGAAGAGAAGAAGAAGGAGGCAGAAGGAGGAAAAGGAGGAAGAGGAGGAGAAGGAAGAGGAGGAGGAGAACGAAAAGGAGGCAGGAGGAAGAGAAGGAAAAAGGAGGAAGAGAAGGAGGAGGAGAAGGAGGAGGAGAAGGAGGAGGAGGAAGAGAAGGAGGCAGAGGAGAGAAGGAGGAGGAAGAGAAGGAGAAGGAGGCAGAAGGAGGAAAAGGAGGAAGAGGAGGAGAAGGAGGAGGAGGAGGAGAACGAAAAGGAGGCAGGAGGAAGAGAAGGAAAAAGAGAGGAAGAGAAGAAGAGGAGGGGCAGGAGGAGGAGAAGGAGGAGGAGGAAGAGAAGGAGGAGGAGGCAGGAGGAGGAGAAGGAGGAGGAGAAGGAGGAGGAGGAGAACGAAAAAGAGAGGAAGAGAGGGAGACAGGAGGAGAGAGGAGGAGGAGGCAGGAGGAGGAGAAGGAGGAGGAGAAGGAGGAGGAGAGAACGAAAAAGAGAGGAAGAGAGGGAGACAGGAGGAGGAGGAGAAGGAGGCAGAAGGAGGAGAAGGAGGAAGAGGAGGAGGAGGCAGGAGGAGGAGAAGAGGGTGAAGTGGAACAAGAGGAGGTACGAGGAAGAGGAGGAGGAGGAGGACTGTGGTCCTTGGTACTCTCTGAACTGATTCATTTTCTTGCAGGTGTTTCATGACCGAAAGAGGGAACATCATCAGTACTAGGAGGGAGGGGGGTTTGTGGAGAGGAGAAGAGACGGGGAGAGACGGGGAAGGAGGAGGGGAAAGAGGAGAAAGGGAAGGATGAGGAGGAGGGTGGGCTCCTTCGTGCCCTCTGAGCTCAGTGGTTTTCTTGCAGACATTTCATGACCGAACTAGGGAACATCATCAGTGCTAGAAGGAGTGGGGTTTGATGATGTTACTTAGTTGGGCAATGAAACATCTGCAATTTAAAATGGATTTAGAATTCAATGGAATCCAGGTGGAGAGGAAGGGAGCGGCCTGTGCATGGGGAAGAGGTGGGGTCTCCTCATCCGGGTAACGGCCCCCAGAATGACATGCCCCCCCTCTGAGCCTTTACAGAAGGCCAAATTGGGGGGGGCAGATGTCACCTGCGGGGAGGAGGTGTGATATTCCAGAGAGCCTATACTGTGGCAGAGAAGGTTCCCTTCCTAGAACCCCAAACTCCTTGGGCGATGGCGTCCACGGCGTGTCCGTAGCGCCATTACGGATGGGACAGGCCAATCTCATTGGGGGTGAGTCAGTCCTTCAGATGGCCTTGACCCAGTGGTGGGATTCAGCCGGTTCGCAGCAATTCGGGAGAACCGGTTGTTAACTTTCTAAGAAGTTCGGAGAACCGGTTGTTGGAAGAAATCTTATTTTGTTTTTTCCCCCCTGCTTTACAAAGCTAATCCTGCAAGGAAGGCAGGAAGGAAACATTCTGGTGTTAGTTCTAGCCTGATCTTTATTGCCTTGCTTACAGAAACTGCCTCTCTGGTTAAGTATGAAAAACAGGCCTGAGTCGGGTTTTTTTTCCAGGGTCGTTGTAACTTCGAACGAACGGTTGTAAGTCAAGGACTGCCTGTAAGAAGGAATTGAAGAGCAATTCAATTCAGGTCACGCTGAACTGACCCCAATTTCTAGGCTGGCCTTATGGGAAATATCCCTTTCGTGGATTTCTCCAATTGTGCTGAATTTGGGAGGGGGTCTTTTAAAAACCTTGGTTGAAGAGCTCAGTTGAGTCTCCCTGTTTCAGCTTAGGAGATATTCCAGAAGAGATGTTGGAAGCCTCCAGTGGACAGAGTCAGTCCACAGACTCCATGACTGCTTCTCCGTCTACCCAAGAACCCGCGTCCGGAGAGACCCCCAAAGAAGAGAAGGAGAAAGAAAAGGAGAAGGAGAAGGAGAAGGAGAAGGAGAAGGAGAAGGAGAAGGAGAAGGAGAAGGAGGAGGGGGCTCCCAAGCAGGTCTCGGAGCCGGCAACGGAAGCCCCCAGCCCCGCCACCCAAGAGAGTGACAGGACTTTGCCTGAAGAGCCCCTCCCTCCTGTTTCCGATGCTGCGGCAGAAAGCAAAGAGATCGACGGCACTGCGGAACCGGGGTGCAGCCCCTACCTCACTCCAGATTTTGGCAAAGAAGACCCCTCCCTGATCTTGGGTAAGGTTGTCAGGGAATCGCTGGTTTCAGGCCCGCGAGCAGAAACTCTGATGGAAGGAGACCGTGTCCCTTCGCAAGTTTCTAGTCCTCATGACGGCAAGGGCAGGTCATCCTTATGGCCTTAGGACCGCAAATCGGACCAAAGTTTTTGATGCTAAGCAAGGGGCAGTTGTTCAATTTAGTCCTCCCAATGTTATGTCCTTTATTGCCACGGTTGTTAAGTGAGTCAGGTGGTTGTTAAGTGAGTCAGGTGGTTGTTAAGTGAATCAGACGGTTGTTAGTGAGTCAGGTGGCAAATCTGGCTTCCTCACTGACTTTGATGGCCGAAAAGTGGCAAACAGGGGTCACATGACCCCAGGATGTTGAAAGTGTGGTAAATACATTCTGGTTTATCCAAAGCCTAAATGTTTTGTCACATGATCACGGGGAATGTCGTGACGGTCATAAGTGCGAGGATGGGTCGTACCACTTTTTTTCAGTGCCATTGTAATTTTAAATGGTCACTAAAGAAATAATCATAAACCGAGGATTCCTGTACCTGGAACTGGCTTAACCTCCGCATCTGAATACTGTACAGGTAGTCCTTGACTGATGACGCTTCATTTAGTGACCGCTTAAAGTTACAACGGAACTGACAAAAGGGACTTATGACCGTTTTTTCACACTTAACAACCATTGCAGCATTCCCGCAGTCACACAGTCAAAATTCAGACGCTTGGCAATTGAATTCATATTTGTGACGGTCGCAGTGTCCTGCAGTCACGTGATTCCCTTTTGCGACCTTCGGACAAGCAGAGTCGACGGGGAAGCCAGACTCACTTAATGACTGTGTTATTCACAACTGCAGTGATTTACTTAATGACTGTGGCAAGCAAGGTCGTAAAACAGGGCAAAGTGAGACATTTAACAGATGTCTCATTTAGCAACCTAAATTTGGGGCTCCGTCGCAGTCGTAGTCGAAGGCAGAGAGAAAGGGTCAAGCTATTTTCCAAAGCACCCGAAGGAATAATGGATGGAAACTGATCAAGGAGAGATTCAAACCTGGAAATAAGGAGGAATTTCCTGACAGTGAGAACAATTAACCAGTGGAACTGCTTGCCACCAGAAATTGTGGGAGGCTTTCAAGAAGAGATTGGGCTGCCATTTGTCACTTGGGTGGGGTTGGACTGGATGACCTACGGGGTCTCTTCCAACTCTGTTAATCTGTTAATCTGACTACCTGTAGTAGCAAGTTTGCTGTAGTAGCAGCAAAAGAGCAAAAATCAAATTATAACAAGCTAAGCTGTTTATTTCATTAGGCAATGTTTCTCAACTTTAAGCTATGTGGACTTCAATTCCCAGAATTCCCTGGTGTTTGCCACATCTGCTCAATGATTACTGCAAAAAAGGTCATAAAAATCACACCATTCCCATCGGTGACCTGCTTTACGACCATCACGACGTACGACTGTAATAGGCAGGCTCCATTATAGTCGTAAGTCTAGGACTACCTCCATTCCCACTGGAGATAAAATACGACACTCTGGCTGCAGTTAAGAAGGGATTTTTTCGTATAACTGATCAGAATCAACTTGGGAGTCCTCGACTTATGACCATTATTTGCGAAGCGAGACAGTTGTCAAATGTATTTGGCCTAATTTTATTATCTTTCTTGCCGCCGTTGTTAAGGGAATCACTGCAGCTGTTCAGTTAGTCACACGGTTGTTAAGTGAATCTGGCTTCCCCACTGCGTCCGAAGGTCGCAAAAGGGGATCCTGTGACATCCCCGGGACACTGCGACCGTCATAAATACGAGTCGGTTGCCAAGCGCCTGAATTTGATCATGTTTGCCCCAACGGTCGTAAGTGTGAAAAACGGTCATCAGTCACTTTTTCCACTGCTGTTATTTATTATTTATTTATTTATTTATTATATTTCTATGCTGCCTTTCTCCCGTAGGACTCAGGAGGCGGTGTACAGTCAAGAAAAATATAGACACACAAACATCATAAAATTGCTAATTAAAATTATTACTTAGTTTGGTCAATTAATTATAATGTTGATCGGTCACTAATGAATGGTCATAAGTCGGGGACTAATTTTGCCTTTCTTCCTAAATCTTAAGGCAGGCCTTGCTGTGAGATGAAAATGGGGAAGCTTTAAATGCAGAGAGAGAATATAATAATGCATTGAGAAGGGGGAGTATCATATTCTCTTGTGCATATTAATTAATGCAGGAGTGGCCAAAATTGTGGAAACCTTTTGGGGAAAAGTGTATTTTCTAAAACCAGCTAATAACACTGGTTTTTTTTGGGAGTAGTACCGTAAAATTATATATCAACGGAAAGATAATTTGATCAAGAATGTAATGCAATAACTTTTAGGAAGGATTTGCTATTAGAATAGCAGTTGAAAGTATAAAGAAGAAAAGTGAAACACGTAGAAAAAAACAAAATATACAAAAATTATCACCATAGAAAAAATGAGATATGCAAAAATGATCCCCATGTCAGTTAATACTTAGTTGGGTAACCTTTAGCATGAATTATGGCCTTACAACGTCTTCCCAGGGAGTGAACCAAGTCTTTGAGTTCTGCAGCTGTTCTAATGTGAAACCAAGATTGAATGATGGCTTCTATTAACTGGGTTTTATTGCTGGGTCACTTCTGACTAACCTGTTTCTTTCTTTCTTTTTTGCTTTAATTTATATGCTGCCCTTCTCCGGAGACTCAGGGCGGCTTACAATGCATTAAGCAATAACCTTCATCTTTTTGTATATTTATACAAAGTCAGCTTATTTCCCCCACAAACTGGGTCCTCAATTTACCCACCTTAGAAAGGATGGAAGGCTGAGTCGACCTTGAGCCTGGCGAGATTCGAACTTACAGTAATTGCAGACAGCTGGTGTTAATCACTATGCTATCAGTCTGCTGAGCCACCAGGCCCTCCCTCTTTCCCTCCCTCCCTCCCTTCTTTTTCTTTCTTTATTTCCTTCTTTCTTTTTCCTCCCTCCCTCCCTTCTTTTTCTTTCTTTCTTTTTCTTTTCCTTTTCCTTTCTTTCCCTCCCTCCCTTTCTTTCCCTCCTTCCCTCCCTTCTTCCTCTTTCCTTCTTTCTTTTTCCTCCCTCCCTCCCTTCTTTTTCTTTTTTTCTTTCTCTCTCTCTTTCTTTCTTTTTTTTTTTTAATTTGATTTATATGCCGCCCTTCTCCGGAGACTCAGGGCGGCTTACAATGCGTTAAGCAATAGCCTTCATCCTTTTGTATTTTTATACAAAGTCAGCTTATTGCCCCCACAATCCGGGTCCTCAATTTACCCACCTTAGAAAGGATGGAAGGCTGAGCCTGGTGAGATTTGAACTTGCAGTAATTGCAAGCAGCAGATGTTAATAACAGTGCTTTAGTCCACTGTACTACCAAGGCTCTTTTCTTGAGTCGGCTCCATAGATTTTCAACTGGGTGAAGGTCTGGGCTATTCCCAGGCCATTCCAGCAGTGGAATAGGATTATCTTGAAACTCCAAAAAAAAAAGTGGTGCTATTAGCCATCAAACCTCAAAAATACACTTTTCCCAAAAGGCTTCTGCAATTTTGGCCGCTACTATAAAAGTGTAAATGAAATAACATTTGCAGAAGATGAAAATTCCTACATAATAAGAGTTTAATGTCTGGTTTGGTTAATGGCTTTTCATTCAGTATTCCAGATCTCTTCTTAAAAACTGGAGGTTTTTAAGAAGAGCTCGGACAGCCACTCGTCTGGAATGATCCTTGGTAGTACAGAGGTTTAAGACACCCTGTTATTAAGCTGGTTATTAAGACCAGCTGCCTGCAATTACTGCAGGTTCGAATCTCACCAGGCTCAAGGTTGACTCAGCCTTCCATCCTTTCTAAGGTAGGTAAAATGAGGACCCAGATTGTGGGGGCAATAAGCTGACTTTGTATAAATATACAAAAGGATGAAGGCTATTACTTAACGCATTGTAAGCCGCCCTGAGTCTCTGGAGAAGGGCGGCATATAAATCAAATTAAAAAAATAATAATAATAATGATACAGCGTCTCCTGCTTGCGGTCCCTGCTAACTCCGTTCTTCTGTTAATTCTTCTTCTCTTATTCTCACTACCTGCAATGGCTGAATAGCCGGTTTTCATTGTAGTTGCTCAATGAGCAACTCTATCTGTACCTTTGAAAACTGGGAGGTTTCCTCGGGGTTGGACTAGATGACCTCCAAGCCCCCTTCCAAATCGGTTTTTCGGTTATTCGGTTCAAAATCAGGCACATTCAGTCCCATCGTCACTGTTGCAGAGAGAAAGACCCCGGAGTTTAATCGAGGGTAGGTGGCAGGGGTGAAATCCAGCAGGTTCTGACGAACCGGTAGTGGTGAGTAGTTCAGAGAACCGGCAAATACCACCTCTGGCTGGCCCCAGAGTGGACAGGGAATGGGGATTTTGCAATATCCTTCCCCCTGGAGTGGGGAGGGAATGGGGATTTTGCAGTATCCTTCCCCCTGGAGTGGGGAGGGAATGGGGATTTTGCAGTATCCTTCCCCCAGGAGTGGGGAGGGAATGGGGATTTTGCAGTATCCTTCCCCCAGGAGTGGGGAGGGATTGGGGATTTTGCAGTACCCTTCCCCCTGGAGTGGGGAGGGAATGGGGATTTTGCAGTATCCTTCCCTTGCCACGCCCACTAAGTCACGCCCACCACACCACACCCACCAAACCACGCCCACAGAACCGGTAGTAAAAAAAATTGGATTTCACCACTGGTAGGTGGCCAAGTTGGAATTAACCTTGAACAAGAGTTAAGAGGTGGCAATCAGAAATCAATAATGTATTATCATCATCATTATTTTTATTATTATTGGTCACACGGTCAGCCAGATGTTCAGACAGGTGGATTGTTGTCCACCTATCGAGTCCTTCCCAGGACCTGAGATAGGCAGAGGGGAAAGTTTGACGAAGTTCAAGATGTTACATCGCAGGATGTCAGCAGTTCCAAGTAAAGCTGCCATTTCTAATTGACTGATGGGGATTTTGTCAATGCCGAATGGTGTTCAAGGGAAGCGCCAGATGTTTGGGGATTGTAACCAAGGGACTTATCACTATTGGCGATGCCTTGTTTTCTTTTGCCACAGTCGTTCTATTTCTGTCTTCGTATTTTGTGATGTTCCCTGGTTCTTTTCTCTTGTCTTCTGCTGTCTCCAGGGCTTGCCATGTCCACTATACGGATTTTTTTTTGTCTTTCTTAATTGTGTTATGTGGCGGGGGCCTATCTGTTTGAATTCTCAGAGGGATTTAATTTCTCCATTTTCTATGACTTGCCCTATTTTATGGTCCCACCAGTTCTCGCCAGCAGACAAAAGGGGTTTCTTGCAGATCTTCCAATGCACCGTTGTTGCTACTTTGTCGAGCCGCTGCTTGTAGTCAGTCTGGGCGATCTTCTGGCAGCAGCTTACCAGACGATCAACAGTTTCTTCAGCTTCTTTGCGGAGACGATGTTTGCTGTCTGTTGCTGTCTTCTCAATTTTGGCTTTGAGTGCATTTGTTCTTAAGGCCTGGACTTGTGTAGAAATATAAATATGGTGTCTCCATAAATAGATATACACAATATATTATAGTGGTAGCAATAACTCTCTCTGTCTCTCTCTTAAACATCTATCTATCTATCTACCTATCATCTATCTATCTATAACTATATATTTATCATCTACTATCTATCATCTATCTATAACTATATCTATCATCTATCTATCTCTATCTATCTATCTATCTATCTATCATTATATCTTTCTATCTATCATCTATCTATCTATCTATTTATCTATCTATCTATCTATCTATCTATCTATCTATCTATCTATCTATCATCTCTCTCATTTATCTATATTTAGTGTATATCTATCTATCTATCTATCTATCTAGCTCTATCTATCTATCTATCTATCTATCTATCTATCTATCTATCTATCTATAACTTTCTATCTAACATCTAGCTACCTATATCTATTATCTCTCATGTATCTATATCTAGTATATCTATCTATATCTATCTATCTATCTATCTATCTATCTATCTATCTATCTATCTATCTATCTATCTATGTATAGTTAATATTTCGGGTTTCTTCCTGTGTAATTGTGGATATATCCCTAAAAGGATAGAAGCGACGTTTCGGCAGAATCCCATCTGCCATCATCAGGCTTATGCCAGTAGTCATTTTGCACTAACTGACGTTGGAATCTATCTATCTATGTATCTATCTATCTATAACTATATCTATCATCTATCTATTTATCTATAACTATATCTTTCTATCTATCATCTATCTATTTATCTATCTATCTATTATCTCTCTCATGTATCTATATTTATCTACTGTATATCTATCTATCTATCTATCTATCTATCTATCTATCTATCTATAACTATATCTTTCTATCTATCATCTATCTATCTATCTATCATCTCTCTCATGTATCTATATTTATCTACTGCCTATCTATGTGTTTATATATCTATAACTTTCTATCATCTCTCTCTCTCTCTCTCTCTCTCATCAATCAATCTAGTTTATTATTTTTCCTTTCTTATTTTTCTTTTTATTTGGGTAATTAATTCTTGCTAAATTTGCTGTTTATTTTTGTTTTTTAATATGCATTATGCACACATTTATAAAATGTATAAATAGAGGGGGAGGAGGGAGGGAAGGAAGGAAGGGGAAAGATAGAGAGACAGATTGGACAGGAAAGATATCTATAACTATATCTATCATCTATCTATCATTATATCTTTCTTTCTATCATCTATCTATCTATCTTTCTATCATCTCTCTCATGTATCTATATTTATCTACTGTATAACTATCTATATCTATCTTTCTATAACTATATCTTTCTATCTAAAGGAAGGAAGGAAGGAAGGAAGGAAGGAAGGAAGGAAGGAAGGAAGTTAGGGGAAAGATAGAGAGACAGAGGGGAAGGGAGGGAGGGAGGGAGAAGAAGGAAAGAAGGAAAGAAAGAAGGACGGAAGGAAGGAAGGAAGCAGTGGGTTGGACTAGAACAGCGGTCACCAACAGGTGGTCCATGGACCACTGGTGGTCCATGAGAAAATTTTGGTGGTCCGCAGAAACATTATTTGCATTTTTTATATTGCACTGAATCCGGGGTCCTCAAATTACGGCCCCTGGGACGGATACGTGCAATGAACGTTTGTGTTGCTGCAGAGAGTCTCTCCCTTCGGGATCTTTTTGTGCGGGTCGGAGGGGGGCAGAAATTCCGACTTGGGGTCTGTTTCGGCCTCCTGGTGGGGGGCTTTGGGCGAAGGCTGGAGGGAATCACCGCTGGTGGCGAAGAGCCGGAGGACCTCGTTCCAGTGGGACTGCATCATGGCCTGGAACTGGTTGACCATCTCAGCCCACTGAGCCTCCAGGCGCCGGTACCTGGCCTTGCACTCCCGCAAGTCTTCCCTCTGCTTGGAAAGCCTATGCTCCTAGTCCTCAGTGAGGTGCTTCTGCTGAGCCTCCTTCTTGGTCAGATCCAATTTGAATTGAACTGTTTTGCCAACTCTTTCTCCTGGTGGCTGCTTAGCTCCAACAACTGCTTCCTCTTGGGGCCATAAGGAGACCGGGTGGGCAGGTGAGGAGGGGCTGGGAGGGGAGGGGCGAGTAGAGGTGGGTGAGGCGCCCCTCGACATGAGTGACATCGAGTTGACCACACCCACCCAGTCACGTGACCACCTAGCCACGCCCACCCAGCCGGTCATTAGGCAGATCGTATTCGTGGTCCGCGGGATTTAAAATTATGAATTTAGTGGTCCCTGAAGTCCGAAAGGTTGGACTAGATGACCTCTAAGGCCCCTTCCAGCCCCATGATTCTGTGATCCTTTTGCCCCCACCCCCACCCGGTTACTTGTCAGCTTTAATCCTGACCCCAATCCAATCCGCTGTGGGTGCTGGCAAACCAGGCACAGATTCCCTTCGGTGGTCCATAGATGTCACCCTCTGAGCATGGCTGCGCATAGAGACCTGGTTCGGAGCTCTATTCAAACCCCTCCTGTCTCTCTCTCTCCCTCTCCCTCTCTCTTTTCCAGATGACACCCCCCCTCCTCCCGCGCCCTTCACCCACCGCATCGTCACACTGAGGACCGGAGACTTCAAAGAGACGTACAAACTGAACACGAAGGAAATCCTGGGAGGGTAAGGAAGGAAGGAGAGCCCTTTTGAGCAGGTGGAGGAATTTCCAGATAGCCAGAAGAATGAATGGGGGGGGGGGACACCATTGGCCTCCAGATGTGGTGGGGGCTCCGTCACTGGAGGGCTTCAAGAAGAGACCGGACGGCCATTGGTCCAGACCGGAAGGGAAAAGGATAAGGAGGTCCACTTTAAGACAACCTTGTGGACTTCAAGTCCCAGAATACTGGCAGGTGAAGTCCATAGGTCTTAAAGGTCCAAAGTTGGACATCCCTGGTAGACTGTCTCCTGCTCGAGCAGGCCTCCAAGGTGCCTTCTGACTCTACTCTTCTACTCTTTTCCTTCCTTCCTTCCTTCCTTCCTTCCTTCCTTCCTTCCTTCCTTCCTTCCTCCTCCCTATCCCTTCTTTTCTTCCTTCCATGTTTCTCTTCCTCCCTCCCTCCCCCCTTCCTTCCTTCCCTCCCTCTTCCTTCTTTTCTTCCTTCCATGTTTCTCTCCCTACCTCCCTCTCTCTCCCTCCCTTCCTTTCCTCTATCCTCCCTCTCTCCTTCCTTCCTTCTTTCCTCCCTCCCTCTCTTCCTTCCCTCTATCCTCTATCTTCCTTCCTTCCTTCCTTTCCTCTATCCTCCTTCCTTCCTTCTTTCCTCCCTCCCTCCCTCCTTCCTTTCCCTCTATCCTCTATCCTCCTTCCTTCCTTCCTTTCCTCTCTCCTCCCTCTGTCCTTCCTTCCTGTTCAGTATTTTCTTTCTCTCTACGTTAAAGCCTGCCTTCCTTCCTTCTTTTCTTCCTTTCATCTTTCTCTCCCTCCCTCCCTCCCTCTTTCTTTCTTTCTTTCTTTCTTTCTTTCTTTCTTTCTTTCTTTCTTTCTTTCTTTCTTCCTTCCTTCCTTCCTTCCTTCCTTCCTTCCTTCCTTCCTTTCTTTCTTTCTCTACAGAGTGATTCTGGGTGTCTTACAATATCATAAAAATGCAAATGTAAAAATATTAATATTAGGAAAGATTCGGCTGAAGGGTTTCCTCCCCCTCCTCCTCCTCCTCTTCCTCTTCCTCTTCCTCTCCAGGGGGAAGTTCGGCGAAGTCCGCATCTGTACGGTGAAGGAGACGGACCTCAAGCTGGCTGTGAAGATCATCAAGAAGCAGGGCCCCAAAGACACGGTAGGCTCTTTGGGGGAGACCCGGGAGGGGTTAGGGGAGGGAGGGGGGGGCTAGCCAGGCCCACCTCCTTCTTCAGCCCCTACAATGCCGCTTTTCTCCGGCAGGAAACGGCCGAAGTGGAAATCGACGTGATGAACCAGCTCAACCATCGAAACTTGATCCAACTCTACGACGCCATCGAGACGCCCCGAGAGATCATGCTCTTCATGGAATTGTGAGTTGGGGGAGGGGAAGGGGAAGGGGGGGGCACTGGGCTCAGAGGCAGAGCCCCCGTCTTGCGTGGACAGGTGGTCCTTGCCTTACGACCACAATTGAGCCCAGCGTGGACTTTGCAAAGAGGGACAGTTGTTAAAGGATCTGTGGCCCCATTTTATCGCCTTTCTTATCACAGCTGTTAAGTGAATTAATGCCGTTGTTAAGTGAGTCACACGGCTGTTAAGCGAATCGGACTTCCCCGTGGATTTTACTTGTCAGGAGGTCACAAAAGGTGATCATGGGACACCCTCCCCCTTCCCGGGACACTGCAGCCGTCATAAGTATGAGTCAGTTTCCAAGTGTCTGAATTTTGATCCCATGACCCTGGGGAATGCTGCAAGGGTCATAAGTGTGGAAAAAGGCCGTAAGACGTTTTTTCAGTGCCATTAAAACTTTTAATGGTCCCAAAATGAATGGTTGTAAATCAAGGACTGTGAAACGGGATATAGGTCTGCTATTTCTTTCTTTGTTTGTTTGTTTGTTTGTTTGTTAATTAATTAATTAATTAATTGACATTGGCGCTTATTCACCCATGGCGACTCAAAGCGGCTTACAGAATAAAAGACCACATTTAAAACAATAAAAACTAACAAAAAGAATCAAATAAATTAATATAGTACAATATAACAAAATCACCCCATCATATATCATCACTATATCATCAATAGCTATTGCTATCTCCCTTCCTCTCTCCCTCCCTCCCTCCTTCCTTCCCTCTCTCCCTCCTTCCTTCCTTCCTTCTCTCGCCCTCTCCCTCCTTCCTTCCTTCCTTCTCTCCCTCTCTCCCTCCTTCCTTCCCTCTCTCCCCCTCTCCCTTCCTCTCTCCCTCCCTCTCTCCTTCCTCCCTTCCTTCCGTCTCTCCCTCTCTCCCTTCCTTCCGTCTCTCCCTCTCTCCCTCCCTCCCTCCTTCCTTCCCTCTCCCTCCTTCCTTCCTTCTCTCCCCCTCTCCCTCCTTCCTTCCTTCCTTCTCTCCCTCTCTCCCTCCTTCCTTCCTTCCTTCTCTCCCTCTCTCCCTCCTTCCTTCCCTCTCTCCCCCTCTCCCTTCCTCTCTCCCTCCCTCTCTCCTTCCTCCCTTCCTTCCGTCTCTCCCTCCCTCCCTCCCGCCTTCCTTCCTTCCGAGCCGTGGTGGCGCAGTGACTAAAATGCAGTATTGCAGGCTAACTCAGTGCTCACTGCCCGTAGTTCGATTCTCACCAGCTCAAGGTTGTCTCAGCCTTCCGTCCTTCCGAGGTCGGTAAAAATGAGGACCCTGATTGTTGACTGCTCTGAGAGAGTCTCTAGAGCGTTGTGAAGTGGCATATAAGTCTAAGGCTATGGCTGTATTGTCGTGATGCTCCTGGGGGGGGGGTGTTTCTACCTTATGGGCCGTCCTGACGTAGCCTTGATTTGCCCCCCCCCCCACAGCGTGGAAGGGGGCGAGCTGTTCGAACGGATCATCGATGAGGATTACCAACTGACGGAGGTGGATTGCATGGTGTTTGTGCGTCAAATCTGCGAAGGAATCCTCTTCATGCATCATATGAGGGTGCTGCACCTGGACCTCAAGGTAGGCAGTCCCGGAGGGGGGGCCCAGGGGGGCTGAGGGAGGGCAGGATGGTACAGAAGGCCCAACCTTGTGGGGGTCTCTGGGCTCGACCGATGGGGGCAGCGTGCCAGGGGTCCAGGCATTGTGGCTTCCTGCAGATGGCTCCCCAGAGGGGACCAGGCTGAATGTAATTGAATAACAGTATAACAGAGTTGGAAGGGACTTTGGAGGTCTTCTAGTCCACCCCCCTGCTCAGGCAGGAAACCCTATACCATTCCTAACCCTAAGCCTATACTCTTCCAGACAAATGGTTGTCCAAACCTCCAGTGTTGGAGCATTCACAACTTCTGGTGGCAAGCAGTTCCACTGATTCATTGTTCTGTGTCATGAAATTTCTCCTTGATTCCAGGTTGCTTCTCTCCTTGATGAGTTTCCACCCGTTGCTTCTTGTCCTGCCTTCTCAGGTGCTTTGGAGAATAGCTCGACTCCCTCTTCTTTGGGGCAGCCCCTCAAAAATATGCCATTTTCTGCTTTTTGCAATGCTTCTGTGGGGGGGGGGCTTTAGAGGTCAGCTGGGTGCTTTAACCTTTAGCACTTGAGTTGACTGATGGTGACTTTGTCAATACCATTGGTATTCAAATGGTGCTCCAGATGTTTTATTTATTTGTTTGTTTGTTTGTTTGTTTGTTTGTTTATTTATTTATTTATTTATTTATTTATTGGTTCGATTTATATGCCGCCCTCTTTTATTTATTTTATTTTATATTTTTTAATTGTATTTATTTGTATTTATTTATTTATTTATTGGTTCGATTTATATCTCTCTTCTCCGGAGACTCAGGGGGGCTTACAATGCATTAAGCAACAGCCTTCATACTTTTGTATATACCTGCTTAGTAGGGCTTTCGGCCCCCCCTAAGCGGTGTTCTATTTTATACAAAGTCAGCTTATTGCCCCCACAATCCGGGTCCTCATTTTACCTACCTCGGGAGGATGGAAGGCTGAGTCAACCTTGAGCCTGGTGAGATTTGAACTCACAGTAATTGCAGGCAGCTGGCAGCTAAGTGCTATTTAACAGCACTTTAATCTGCTGCACCACCAAGGCTCCTTATTTTAGGATTGCACCCGAGGAACCTACCGCTATTACCCTTTTCCCCGAAAATAAGACCTCCCCTGATAATAAACCCAATTGGGCTTTTGAGCGCATGTGCTAAAATAAGCCTCTCCCCCGAAAATAAGCCCTCCCCGAAAATATTTAAACGCAGAGCTGGAAATCAGGTAAGACGGCAAGAGGAGCCCCATCTTGCTCCACGCACCCCAAAATAATAAGACCTCCCCAAAAATAAGGCCAAGCACTTATTTCAGGGTTCAAAAAAAATATAAGACAGGGTCTTATTTTCGGGAAAACATGGTAGTGCTACCTTTGTTATTAGCCAAATAACAGAGCTGGGAGGGACCTTGGAGGTCTTCTAGTCCAACCCCCTGCTCAAGCAGGAAAGCCTATAACTGTCCAGATGCAGGAGTTGGCCGTTGGATGGTCTGTGACGGTGATCGGGAACCTTTTCGGCACCGAGTGCCCAAACCGGTACACGCATGCATACATGTGTATGTGTGAGTGCGTGCGTGTCGGAGCGCTGGAAACTCAAATACCAGCTGCTGGCGTGCACATACCTGTTTTTTTGGCTGGTTTTAGCTGTTTTTCGGGCCGTTTTCAGGCTGTTTTTTTGGATTGTTTTCAGGCCGTTTTCCGGGCCATTTTCTTCTTTTTTTTTAAAATAGATCTTTATTAATTATTTACAGGTAAAAAAACATATAGTGTAATTTTCAAACAAATATAGGTTATATATGGGTATACAACACAACACATAAAGACAACCACAGAGAAGGACTAACTGGGAGTTGAATCGAACCCCCAAATACTTATTCATAGTTACATCCCGGTAAATCCTTTTGTTCCGGGCCATTTTCCAGGCCGTTTCCAGGCTATTTTCATGCTGTTTTTAGGCCATTTTCTGACAATTTTTGGCCCGAAAAAAGCCAAAAAATTACCTGAAAACCGCCTGAAAAATGGCTTGAAAACAGCCAGAAAATGGCCCCAAAATACCCTGAAAATGGCACGGAAAACAGCCGGAAAACTGCCCGAAAATCATCCTGGTTTTGGCCCATTTTTTGGCCCGTTTTCAGGCCATTTTCCGGTGCTCCAACACCCGCGAAGACCAGCTAGCTGGCACATGGAAACCAGAAGAGGAGCTGGCAACGGCGAATGTGCCCACAGAGAGGGCTCTGGCACGCATGGCATAGGTTCTCCATCACGGATCTATGATCAAGCACCTCCTGTGTGCAAAGGGATCCTGTAGCTGGAACCACATCACCTGGCCAGCAGAGGTGCAACCTTAAACCCCTTGCTAGGAGGGGTCCAGGGGAGATCAGTCAAAGAGGAAGGCTGCCGTTGGACCAGGCAGTTTTTACTGCAAATGTTAGAGTGCTGGCTTGAAAGATCGTGTTGCCCAGCTCAAAACAGCAAGGATAACAGAATAAGAGAGTTGGAAGGGATCTTAGAGGTCTTCTAGTCCAACCCCTAATCAAGCAGTAAACCCTAAACGATTTGGTTGTCCAGTCTCTTTTTGAAAACCTCCAGTGATTGAGCATCTACAACTTCTGGTGGCAAGCAGTTCCACTGGTTAATTGTCCTCACTCTCAGGAAATTCCTCCTTAATTGCAGGTTGCTTCTCTCCTTGATTAGTTTCCATCCGTTGCTTCTTGTCCTGCCTTCAGGGGCTTTGGAGAATAGAATTTCTATGGTTGCTGGCACAGCCAGCCAGATGTTCAGCCCAGAGTTGGCATTTCTTTCCACCTATCAACTCCTTCCCAAGGACGTGGGATTGCCAGTTGTAGTTCAGCCGCCTTTTGCAATTGACTGATGGTGATATTGTCAATGCCGATATTATTATTATTATTATTATGGTTGGCTCGCACAGTCAGCCAGATATTTAGACTCAATTTGAGAGTTTTGTCCTCCACATCACGTCCTTCCCAAGGACATGGGATAGGCAGGTATGAATGTTCGATAGGGTTAAAGCAGGGGTGAAATCCAGCAGGTTTTGACAGGTTCTGGAGAACCGGTAGCGGAAATCTTGAGCAATTCGGAGAACCAGCAAATCTCACCTCTGGCTGGTTCCAGAATGGGGTGGGAAGGGAGATTTTGCAATATCCTTCCCCCTGGAGTGGGAAGGGAATGGGGATTTTGCAGTATCCTTCCCCTGGAGTGGGAAGGGATGGGGATTTTGCAGTATCCTTCTCCTGCCACGCCCACCAAACCACATCCACCAAGCCACGTCCACAGAACCGGTAATAAAAAAAAATTGGATTTTACCACTGGGTTAAAGATATAATTGCAGGATGTCAGCTGTTCCAAGTAGAGCTGCCTTTTTGCAATTGACCGATAGGGATTTTTGTCAACGTTGATGGTGTTCAAGAGATGCTCCAGTTGTTTTGGGATTGTACCCAAAAGACCTGTCCGGTGGCAGCCAAAAAAGCCAATGCAATCCTAAACTGCATTAAGAGAGGGATACAATCAAGATCAAGGGAGGTGCTAATATCACTCTAGAAAGCCTTAATAAGACCACACCTAGAGTCCTGCATCCAGTTTTGGTCACCACACTATAAAAAAAGAGTTTGAGACTCTAGAAAGAGTGCAGAGAAGAGCAACCAGGATGATGAGGGGACTGGAGGCTAAAACGTACGATGAACGGTTGCAGGAACTGGGCATGGCTAGTCTAGTGAAGAGAAGGACCAGGGGAGACAGGAGAGCATCTTCCAATATTGGAGGGGCTGCCCCAGAGAGGAGGAAGGGGGTCAATTTATTTTTCAAAGCACCCGAAGGCCAGACAAGGAACAACGGATGGAAACTGATCAAGGAGAGATTCAACCTGGAAATAAGGAGGAACTTTCTGACAGTGAGAACAATCAACCCATGGAACAGAAGTTGCCTTCAGAAGTTGTGGGAGCTTCATCCCTGGAGGTTTTCAAGGAGAGACTGGACTGCCATCTGTCAGAAATGGTGTAGGGTCTCCTGCTTCGGCGGGGGGTTGGACTAGATGACCTGCAAGGTCCCTTCCAACTCTGTTAAACTGAATTGGTCACCATACTACTTAAAAGATGTAGACACTTTGGAAGAAATTCAGAGAAGAGCAACAAAGATGATTAGGGGACTGGAGGCTAAAAGATATGAAGAATGGGTTTGCTTAGTCTAGAGAAAAGAAGGACCAGGGGAGACATGATAGCAGTATTTGAGGGGCTGCCCCAAAGAAGAGGGGGTCAAGCTATTCTCCAAAGTACCTGAAGGCAGGACAAGGAACAATGGATGGAAACTAATCAAGGAGAGAAACAACCTGGAATTGAGGAGAAACTTCCTAACTGTGAGGACAATTAACCAGTGGAACTGCTCGCCACCAGAAGTTGTGGGTGCTCCATCACTGGAGGTTTTCAAGAAGAGATTGGACCGCGATTTGTCTGAAATGATATAGGGTCTCCTGCTCGAGCAGAGGGCTGGACTAGAAGACCTCCATGGTCCCTTCCAGCTCTATTCTATTCTATTCTATTCTATTCCTTTTGCCACAGTTGTTCTGTTTGTATTTGCGGGTCTTTGCGTTTTGTGATCTTGTTCTGTCCCCCTTCCTCACACAGGCAAACGTAATCCCAAGCATGCCTGCCAATATTTTATTAGGTAAACAGATTAGAACTCTTGGCAGACCAAGGTTTTGGCAGCAAACTGCCGAATGCCTGCCAAGACCGTTTTCACTCCCATAAAGCAGAAGAGGACTTATCTTCAGTCCGTTCCAGGAGCAACAAGTTATCCACGAGACAAGAGTTTAGTCAATGTTCAGTCCAAAATATATCCAAGCCGAATTTCAGAGATCACGGTCTGACTTTCAGGGTTTAACTTTGTCCGTCACAAAGCCCGAAGAGCAATCCCACCCACTTTTATTCCTGGTGGGCTGTGGCTCAGTGGCTCAGCTCAATCTCTGGCCCTCACACGCCTCTTTCATTGCTGCGCACGCTTCTCCCTCCGACGCTGCCTGGGATCAAGCCAGGATTCATCATTCTTGCTCCCTATCTGTTGTTGTTCCGATATGCTTTCCTCCTGGCACATCCCAGGCTGTTCCTCCTGGCCTTCGGATGGAACCTGAGGCATTGCCAGAGAGGAGGGTCCTGGAGAGGGAGGCCTTATCAGTTCCTCCCCACCACCTTCTGAGTCCTCTTCCTCTGTTAGGACAGGCTCGGGAGTCGGGGTCGCAACAGATCTTCTCCAGTTCTTCCTCTTCTCTTCTGCTGTCTGCAGGTCCTGCCATGTCCACCATCCAGATTTTTTGTCTTTCTTATTAACAGTTGTTAAGTCTGAGATGTCGCGTGGCAAATGCCTGTCTCTCTTTTATTTTCTTATTAAAAAGTTTACACAGAAAAAAACATTTTTTTCCCCCCCCCCATGTTCCCCCCACCCTTTCCCTCCCCTCCCCCCCCCCGAGACTTCCCAGAGCAAATACAGGGTACTTCAATTAACCATCATAACTAAATTAACCTATCTATCCTCAGACTACTAAATCCCCCCCCCTGAAACCTTAACTCCACTATAGATAACATAATACTTCTAGTACTTAACGTTCATTCATAAGCTATTTGATATTTTCTTGCCTGATACTTATTTTGAATATAATCAATCCATCTTCTCCATTCCGATACGTATCTTTCTTGTGTATAGTCCTTCAAGTACGCTGAGATTTTCGCCATTTCTGCTAAGTTCGTTGCTTTCAGTGTCCACTCTTCAATAGTAGGCAAAAAGTCCTTCTTCCAGTGTTGTGGATTTAATAAGACAAACACAACTTTTGGATTAATCAGAGACAAATTATATATTGCGCAATAGGTTCAAAGCTCTGTACATGAAGCGTTGAACAAAGACAGAAATTAGGTACAATGGTTTTTATACCCTTCTAGACAAAGGATTCTGTTAACTCAGCAATTCATATGGTCATATACATTTGTCATTTTTAATTGACATGTCCTAATTACTGAGTTTCTTTGCAAAACAGTTATAATTCTTTTTGTAGATTACTGAAGCATAGACTCAAATCATCTTCTGACGATAGACAACTTTTAACTCATGTGGATCCCCTTGACCTAACCAACCTTTAAGCTGTATGTCATTAGAAGGTTCCTTTCTTCTGACAACTTAGAGGCCTCCTAGAGGAACCAAAAGGATTTTGGCTGAGTTTGTACTTTTTCCAATCGGATGCATTGCTTTTTTAGAATAGAGTGAATAGAAAGTTATCCAGTGGTCATCTATCAGAGCCCGCTTCATTTACATTACCAGTATTTACATTACCTTGCTGCTGATATGAAGTTCAGAATCAATTTAGTCTCTAATGCTGTACAGTCCATCGTTAAACCCAGTAAAAACAATTGAGGAGTATCTCTTTGTTGATGTTAACATCACCATTAGAGAAGAATTGTCTTTTTTTAACAGCTTCCTCTCCTCTCCTGACCCCCCCAAACACCTGCCTCTTCACTCTCATGGGGACACCCCTTTTCTCCTTTCTCTGCAGCCCGAGAACATCCTGTGTGTGACGGCCACTGGCCACATGGTGAAGATCATTGACTTCGGATTTGCCCGAAGGTAATGTGGGAATCAGGGAGGCCGGAGCTTCCTCTGACCATGTGCCGAGGACAGACCCAATTTTGGTTTCTCTCGGTCTGTCCACGAGCATCGCTAACATGGTCTCTTCCGTGGGGTCCTTGGTGCTCTCGGAGCTTGGCGGCTTTCTTGCAGGCGTTTCAGGACCTGACTCGGTAACATCGTCAGTGCTAGAAAGGAGTGAGGAGGATGAGGAGAAGGAAGGGAGGGAGGGAGGGAGGGAGGAAGGAAGGAAGGAAGGAAGGAAGGAAGGAAGGAAGGAAGGAAGGCTTTAATGTAGAAGGCAGGGGAAAATACTGATTTTGAGGGAAGGAAGGAAGGAAGGAAGGAAGGAAGGAAGGAAGGAGGAAGGAAGGTTTTAATGTAGAAGGAGGGTAAAAAATATTGATTTGGAAGGAAGGAAGGAAGGAATGCTTTAATGTAGAAGGCAGGGGAAAATACTGATTTTGAGGGAGGGAGGGAAGGAAGGAAGGAAGGAAGGAAGGAAGGAAGGAAGGAAGGAAGGAAGGAAGGCAGGCAGGCTTTAATGAAGAAGGCAGGGGAAAATACTGATTTTGAGGGAAGGAAGGAAGGAAGGAAGGAAGGAAGGAAGGAAGGAAGGAAGGAAGGTTTTAATGTAGAAGGAGGGTAAAAAATACTGATTTTGAAGGAAGGAAGGAAGGAATGCTTTAATGTAGAAGGCAGGGGAAATACTGATTTTGAGGGAGGGAGGGAGGGAGGGAGGGAAGGAAGGAAGGAAGGAAGGAAGGAAGGAAGGAAGGAAGGAAGGAAGGCAGGCTTTAATGAAGAAGGCAGGGGAAAATACTGATTTTGAGGGAAGGAAGGAAGGAAGGAAGGAAGGAAGGAAGGAAGGGAAGGAAGGTTTTAATGTAGAAGGAGGGTAAAAAATATACTGATTTTGAAGGAAGGAAGGAAGGAATGCTTTAATGTAGAAGGCAGGGGAAAATACTGATTTTGAGGGAGGGAGGGAGGGAGGGAGGGAAGGAAGGAAGGAAGGAAGGAAGGAAGGAAGGAAGGAAGGAAGGCAGGCTTTAATGAAGAAGGCAGGGGAAAATACTGATTTTGAGGGAAGGAAGGAAGGAAGGAAGGAAGGAAGGAAGGAAGGAAGGAAGGAAGGAAGGAAGGTTTTAATGTAGAAGGAGGGTAAAAAATACTGATTTTGAAGGAAGGAAGGAATGCTTTAATGTAGAAGGCAGGAGGAAAATACTGATTTTGAGGGAAGGAAGGAAGGAAGGAAGGAAGGAAGGAAGGAAGGAAGGAAGGAAGGAAGGAAGGAAGGAAGGAAGGAAGGAAGGAAGGAAGGGGGCTGTGGGGTCCTTGGCGCTCTCTGAGCTTGGTTCTTTTCTTGCAAACATTTCATGACCTGACTAGGTAACATCATCAGTGCTAGAAGAAAACAGAATGTTTAATTCAACTACATATGCTAGTTTTTTGGCAGCTCAAGAAATAGTTAGCTCCCGGTGTTTTCTTTTCTGTGGGAAACGGGTCCAAATGGCTCTTTGAGTGTTTAAGGTTGCAGACCTGGGTTAGGGGGTCCTTATTTGATGCACCTTTACCTGTAAGGTGTGTTTTGTGTGTGTGTGAAAAGGGTGGATTGGAGAAGCCTAGTTCGAACGTACCAATACTAATTCTTCTCCCCATTCCAGGTTCAACCCCCGAGAAAAACTAAAAGTTAACTTTGGCACCCCGGAATTCCTGCCCCCAGAGGTGGTCAGCTATGAGCCCGTCTCCTACAGCAGCGACATGTGGAGCATGGGGGTGATCGCATACATGCTGTGAGTTGGGGTGCAGGGGAGGAGCCTAAATCTAGGGGTTTGCAGCATGCACCCCGTTGCAAAAATCTCTAAAGCTGAAAAAAAAAAAAAACATACGAAGAACGGTTGCAGAAATTGGGTTGGGCCAGTCTAGAGAAAAGATGAGATGAGAGGAGGATCCCAGTATTTGAGGGGCTGCCCCAAAGAAGAGGGGGTCAAATTATTTTCCAAAGCATCAGGAAAAGAGGGACCGGTGCGGTGGCCTAGAGGTGGAGCTGACGCCTCACAATCAGGAGGCTGCGAGTTCGATCCTAGGTAGAGGCAGATATTTCCCTCTCTGGGCACAATGAGAATATATCTGCTGAACAAAACTCCGTACTGGAGACAGGGAAAGGCATCCGGCCAGTAAAACACTCTGCTAGCTCAGTTGCCCAGACTTCACCCCACAAGGGATTATGGGGTCATTAAACGACGATGATGTTCAGAAGGCAGGAAAAGAAACCATGGGTGGAAACTCAGCAAGGAGAGAAGCAACCTGGAATTAAGGAGAAACGTCCTAACAGTGAGGACAATTAACCAGTGGAACGGCTGGCCACCGGAAGTTGTGGGTGCTTCCATCAATGGAGGCTTTTAAGAAGAGATTGGAGTGCCACCTGTTTCAAATGGTATAGGATCTCCTGGTTGAGCAAGGGGATGGACTAGAAGACCTCCAGGGTCCCTTCCAGCACTATTCTATTCTAAAAAAGCAACGTGATCTCATCTTCTCTCTTTCTTTCTCTCTCTCTCTCGTCCTCCCTTCCAGGCTGAGTGGTTTCTCTCCTTTCTTGGGGGACAACGACACAGAAACGCTCAACAACGTTCTGTTGGCGGAGTGGTATTTCGACGAGGAAGCCTTTGAGGGCATCTCGGACGAAGCCAAGGACTTCGTCTCCAACTTGATCATCAAGCAAAAAGGGTCTGTGCTTTGGAGAGCAACCTTCCCAGATAGGTGGAGGAGTCAAACAGGGAGTTAGCATAGAATCAGTAGCTAAACACAAGAGGGAGAAGTCTGGCTCACCAACCCTGAATGCCTTAGAACAGGGGTCTCCAACCTTGGCAACTTTAAGCCTGGCGGACTTCAACTCCCAGAATTCCCCAGCCCTTGCCTTAGAACGCGGGTATCCAATCTTGGTTAACTTTAAGACTTGTGGACTTCAAGTCCCAGAATTCTCCAGTCAGCATGTGAGATGGGTTGGGCCGAGGGAGAGGGACTGGCCCAAAGTCACCCAGCTGGTTCATGCCTGAGGTGGGACTAGAACTCACTGTCTCCTGGTGATTAGGCCAAAGTCACAGCTGAATTTCATGCCTGAGGTGGAATTAGAACTCACAGTCTCCTGGTGATTGGCCAAAAGTCACCCAGCTGCCTTTCTTGTTTAAAATGGGACTAGAACTCACAATCTCTTGGTGATTTACCCAGTCACCCAGCTAGCTTTCGTTCCTAAAGTGGGACTAGAACTCACTGTCACCTGGTAATTGGCCCAAAGTCACTCAGCTGAATTTCATGCCTGAGGTGGAACTAGAATTCACAGTCTCCTGCTGATTGGTCCATAGTCACCTAGCCAGCTTTCATGTTTAAGATGGGACTAGAACTCACAATCTCTTGGTGATTTACCCAAAGTCACCCAGCTAGCTTTCGTTCCTAAAGCGGGGCTAGAACTCACTGTCTCCTGGTGATTAGCCCAAAGTCACAGCTGCGGCTTTCATGCCTGAGGTGGTACTAAAACTCACCATCTCCTAGTGATTGGCCCAAAGTCACCCAGGTGAATTTCATGCCTGAGGTGGAACTAGAATTCACAGTCTCCTGGTGATTGGCCGTTTCATGTTTAAGATGGGACTAGAACTCACTGTCTCCTGGTGATTTACCTAAAGTCACCCAGCTAGCTTTCGTTCCTAAGGCGGGACTAGAACTCACTGTCACCTGGTAATTGGCCCAAAGTCACTCAGCTGGCTTTCATGCCTGAGGTGGGACTAGAACTCACACTCCCCAAAGTCACCCAATCAGCTTTCATGCCTGAGGTGGGACTAGAACTCACTGTCTCCTGGTGATTGGTCCATAGTCACCTAGCCGCTTTCATGCCTGAGGTGGTACTAAAACTCACCGTCTCCTAGTGATTGGCCCAAAGTCACCCAGCTGAATTTCATGCCTGAGGTGGAACTAGAACTTACAGACTCCTGATGTTTGGCCCAAAGTCACCCAGCTGAATTTCATGTTTAAGTTGGGACTAGAACTCACTGCCTCCCACTTCCTAGCCCGGTGCCCTAACCACTAGACCGAACTGACTCGACATCCTCAAAAGTTATAACTCGACAAGTTTACCAGTTTCCTGGTGACTTTAAACCTGCATTAAAATAACAATAAGAGCCACAGTATCGTAGAGAAGTGCCCGGATAGAAAGAAGGGAGCCTGGCAGAAGGTGGCACCGATGCTCGCTGTGCCACTCCAGCTGGATTAAATGTTGGAAAACTCCTTTGCCATCTGCAACGCTCCTGAGATGCTGGTTTTGTCTCGCCGGAGGCTGCTACCGGCAGTCGCGACTTAACGAGCACAATTGAGCCCCCGCCTTTCTGTTGTTAAGCGAGACATTGGCGAAGTGAGTTCCGCCCCATTCTACGACCTTTCCGGCCAAGTTATTAAGTGAATCACTGCCGTTGATAAGTTACGAACGGGGTCGTTAAGTGAATCTGGCTTCCCCCGTCGATTTTGCTTGTCAGAAGGTCGCAAAATGTGACCCCACGACCCTCGGACACGACAACCGTCGTAAGTACATGCCAGTTGCCAAGCACTACAGTTTTGATCCCCTGATCATGGGGATTATGCAAAGGTGGCAACTCTGAGACACGGTCCCAAGCCAAGTCGCTTTTTCAGCGCTTTGAACGGCCACTAAATGAACCGTCGTAAGTCGAGGACTACCCTCTAATGTCTTCTTTTCTTCCTCCTCTCTTTCCTCCCTTTCTCCCAGTGGGAGGATGAGTGCAGCCCAGTGCCTCCAGCACCCCTGGCTCAACAACCTGGCCGACAAAGCGAAGCGAGTCAACCGGCGCCTCAAATCTCAGGTTCTGCTCCGGAGATACGTCATGCGACGTCGCTGGAAGGTAATGGCCGTTTGGGAGGGGCAGAGGGGGCCCGGATGCTTTGCGGAGCGGGTATAGATGCAGAGTGGTCGAAAAAGTCAAGATGGCACCTATGTGGAGTCGAATTGACCCTCCAACTGCTTTTTACAAGTAGTCCTCGACTTACGACCACCAAATTTGAGCCCCAAATTTGAGGTCGCTAAGTGAAAAATTTGTTAGGTGGGTTTTGCCTCGTTTTACGACTTTCCTTGGCACCGGTTGTTAAGCAAATTGCTGCAGTTTTTAAGTTGGGAACACGGTTGTTAAGTGAATCTGACTTCCCTACTGATTTTGCTTGTCAGACAGTCGCAAAAGGAGATGACATAACCCGGGGACACTGCGACCGTCATAAATATGAGCCAGTTTTCAATGTAAATCACGTGACCATGGGAACGCTGCCACGGTCTTACGGGTGAAAAATGGCCCTAAGTCATTTTTTTTCAGTGCCGTCGTAACTTCGGTCACTAAACGAACCGTTGTAAGTTGAGGACTACCTACATTTGCAACCCTTGCGGTGCCTTCTTGACTGGTTTGACTCAAAGGCTGTGGTTTCATCCATGTTTGCCTTTTTTTCCCCCAATTTTGCTCCTAAATTTCTTCCTTTCGGTTTCACTTTTGCTATAACCGAGGGGCATTCTGGGAAAATGAATTCAGGAATGGACTTTGCATCGGTCTCTGTAGTGAAGCAGAGTGGCTGCCCTTAGAAAGGCCTCTGTACACTCTTTATGTACTATAAATCAGCGTTTCTCCACCTTGGCAACTTGAAGATGGGTGGACTTCAAATCCCAGAATTCCCCAGCCACCATGGCTGGACTTCAGTTCCCAGAATTCCTCAGGCAACTTCCTGGCTGTGGAATCCTGGGAGTGGAAGCCCACTTACGTTTTCTAGAGGATTCTGGAAGTTGATTCCATTCGTGCTTCTCTGGGGAATTCTGGGAGCTGAACTCCAACCATGTTAGCCTGAGGAATTCTGGGAGTTGCGGTCCACCCATGCTGGCCAGGGGATTGTGGGAGTTGTTGTATCTCTGCTAGCTGGGGATTTCTGGGAGTTAAATCCATCTATGGTAGCTATCAAGGGGATTCTGGGAGTTGTTGTTTACCTGTGCTGGCCAGGGGATTCTGGGAGTTGAACTTCCAACCATGCTGACTGAGGAATTCTGGGAGTTGAAGTCCACTCGTGCTGGCCAGGGGAATTCTGGGATTTGAAGTCCATCCATGTTGGCCAGGGGAATTCTGGGATTTGAACTTCCAACCATGCTGACTGAGGAATTCTGGGATTTGAAGTCCACTCATGCTGGCCAGGGGAATTCTGGGAGTTGAAATCCACTCATGCTGACTGAGGAATTATGGGATTTGAAGTCCATCCATGTTGGCCAGGGGAATTCTGGGAGTTGAAATCCACCCATGTTGGCCAAGGGAATACTCTGGGAGTTGAAGTCCACTCATGCTGGCCAAGGGAATTCTGGGATTTGAAGTCCACTCATGCTGGCCAGAGGAATTCTGGGAGTTGAAGTCCATCCATGCTGGCCAGGGGAATTCTGGGATTTGAAGTCCACCCCTGCTGGCCAGGGGAATTCTGGGAGTTGAAGTCCACTCATGCTGGCCAGGGGAATTCTGGGACTTCAAGCCCACTCCTGCAGCTTTGGGGATTCTGGGAGTTGAAGTCCAGACATCTTGAAGCCGCCAAAGTTAAGAAACACTGTTAAACACCCCTATATTTGCTGACTGCTTATTTTATAAGTAAGGTTTTGCAAATGTGAATTTCCTCGGAGGCTGGATGAGTGGCCGTCCTCGATGACCTTGTAGTGTAGGCCAACGAGTGCTTTGCCCAGCCAAATTTTGATGTGAATTTGGCAAGGAACGACGCTCTCTGCATCATCTGACCCCGGAAAGGAATTTTGGGTTGAACACAAGTGAAAATGGTTCCAATTTTGCCTCCCGGGTCCAAAAATATTACATCCGACTTCATCCTTCATTTCTGGATTTTGTACCTAATTAGATAGTCTTTCACACAAACTTATTAAATAAACCTCCCAAAACGGTTTAATCCCGGCCATCAAAAATGTCCCGAAAAGAAATCCACAGCAATGACCTTCCCCCACTCCCACTCCCACTCGCCAGGCCCGAGGGCTTTCTGTCCCACTCAACAGCCAAATTTTGATCCAGACGGTCCTCTACTTACGACGACAACTGAGCCCAAAACTTCCATTGCTGAGCGCGACAGTTGTTCAGAGAATGTTGCGCCATTTTACGACCTTCCTTGCCCCCGTTGTTAAGCGAGTCGCTGCAGTTGTCGAGTCAGTCATACGGTCATTAAGCGAATCTGGCTACCCCATGGACTGTGAGGTCGCAAAAGGAGACCACATGACCTCAGGACACTGCAACCGTCATAACTCCATGCCAGTTGCCGAGCGTCTGAATTCGAATCACGTGACAACGGGAAAAGCTGCAACGGTCGTTAAGTGTGGAAAACAGTCCCGAGTCACTTTTTTTCAATGCCGTTCTAACTTCGGACAGTCACTAAAATAAAACGGTCGTAAGTCGAGCATAAGTATAAGCACATCGTGAAATATGCTATCTGCTTCTTTCTTTTTTTTTAAAGACGGCAGGAAAAAAATCTCAGTTCTCTCCCTGGACAAACTCCCAAAACTCAAGGCCAAGCCAGCTCCCCCTTCCTCCCTAAGAGCTCCGGGAGACGAGAAAAAAGATATCTGCCAAGTAGATTTTAAAAATGCCAAGTCGCAGTTTGCAGAATTGGATGCTCCTTCATCGCCTGCCTCCCACCCGAGATTCCGTTGGAAGTTCTCCTTGGAAAGCAGGGTTTTTTTTGGGATGTAATCTGATTTTTTTTCTAGCTGTGCCTGGATTCTTATTGACCTGGGGGATCCTTGATAGTCTCTGAGCTTGTTTGTTGGCTTGCAGACGTTTCATGGCCCAACTAGGGAACATCATCAGTGCAGGAAGGAAGGAAGGAAGGAAGGAAGGAAGGAAGGAAGGAAAGAAGGAAGGAAGGAAGGAAGGAAAAGGAAGGGAGGGAGGGAGGGAGGAGGAGGAAGAGGAAAACTGAGGGGTCCTTGGTGCTCTCTGAGCTTGGCTGTTTTCTTGCAGACGTTTCATGACCCAACTAGGCAACATCATCAGTGCTGGAAGGGAGTGTGGAGTAAAGGAGAGGATGGAGTGGTGAAGAAGGGGAGAGGAGGCGAAGAGAAGGGGAGCAGCAGGAGGAGGAGGGCTGTGGGGTCCTTGGTGCTCTCTGAGCTTGGCTGCTTTCTTGAAGACGTTTTATGACCCAACTAGGGAACATCATCAGTGCTGCAAGGGAGGAGGAAGAGGAGGAGGAAGGAGGAGGACTGTGGGGTCCTTGGTGCTCTCTGATCTTTGTTGTTCTCTTGCAGGCGTTTCATTACCCAGCTAGGTAACACCATCAATGCTGGAAGCGAGGGGTGTTTGCTCTCCTTTTTATGTCCTTTACGTGGCTTGCCGTGTCAGCGTTGCTGAGAGTGGGGTCTTCGTCTCACTGGTTCCTCGATGAGGCTGCTGTTTTCCCCGTTTGATTGTTCGTCTGAGTTGGTAGTTTGCTTGATTGGGGTATTTATTGCTTACTGCTGGATTGCAAGCCACTTATACATAATGCCACTTATGCCACTAATGCATTGTAATTTAACTCCAGCTGTCTGCAATTAGTAAGTTCGAATCTCACCAGGCTCAAGGTTGACTCAGCCTTCCATCCTTTCTAAGGTGGGTAAAATGAGGACCCAGTTTGTGGGGGCAATAAGCTGACTTTGTATAAATATACAAAAGTATGAAGGCTATTGCTTAACGCATTGTAAGCCGCCCTGAGTCTCCGGAGAAGGGCGGCATATAAATCAAATTTAAAAACAAAAAAAAACAAAGAGCAAACTTTACTCCCTTCTAGCCCTGATGATGTTCCCTAGTTGGGTCATAAAATGTCTGCGAGAAAACAAACTCAGAGAGCACCAAGGATCACACAGTTCTCCTCCTCCTCCTCCTCCTCCTCTTCAACATACCCCACTCCCTTCTAGCATTGATGATGTTACCTAGCTGGGTCACAAAATATTTTTTAAATATTTTTAATTGGTTTGTTATTTTAAATTGGGGCCAAATTAATATATATCTTTTTAATTGTTTTTAATGTTTGTATTGTATGTTTTTATCTGGCTGTATACCGCCCTGAGTCCCTCGGGAGAAGGTGCGGTATATAAATTCGAAATCAAATAAAAAATAAAAAAATAAATTCAGAGAGCTCCAGGTACCCCACAGTTCTCCTCCTCCTCCTCCTCCTCCTCCTCCTCCTCCTCCTCCTCCTCCTCCTCCTCCTCCTCCTCTTCCTCAACATATCCCCCTCCCTTCTAGCACTGATGATATTACCTAACTGGGTCAGGAGACGTCTGCAAGAAATAACCAAGCTCCGAGAGCATATAACCCGAGCGACCGATATTCTCTTCTTCTGCTTCTCATTGTCCTGTTTCCTTCCAACAGAAAAACTTCATTGGCGTTTGTGCTGCCAACCGATTCAAGAAAATCACCAGCTCCGGATCCCTGACAGCGCTCGGGGTCTGAACTGGGGAGTGGTGGGGGGTGGGGGTGGGAGGACACGGTACCGAGCAAAAGAAGAACGGGGGAGACCACCAACCCGAAGCTTGGGACCGAATTGCGTTTGTTGTGCCCTGCCATTCAGGGATTGTGTAGCGGGGACTGTTCGGCAGGGGCCCCGGAGCATGGGACCTTGTGGTGCAGAGATGCTCCCCTCTCCGTACAAAGCCTGCCCGGTCTCCTGCCTCTGCCTACCTGGGCAGGTGAGCCCCTTCCCCTCTCTCTCTCTCTGCTGACTTGAGCCTCTCCACTCCCAAGCCTGCTTTGAAGGATGTTCCTGCTGAGAACTCATTAGGACTCAATGCTCCGCTGGAGGCTGCTTCTCTTTGCGCACTGCGCCATCCATGCACCTTTTGCCAGAGCTCTGGCTGCTTAAAGGACCCTCTTCCCTCACCGCAGGGAGCCGGGTTCCACTTGGGACATCTAGACGGATGTTGGGTCATCCAGGCGGAAGAGGGTCCTGGCATCCCTGCTTGGCAGGCATCTCTCCTGTTGGAAGTTACCCCAAAGAAGTTCGTTTTTGAAACCTGGACTCTCGTATCCCGCAGATGGCACCTGCACCTTCCTGCCATGGTTTTGCATTTGGGCAGAGGGGGGTGGGCAGCGAGGGGTGGGATGGGACAAAGGACTGTTGGGATTTTGGCTACCCAACTCATGCTTGCCTGTTTTTCCCTCCACGGAGAATTTCTCCTGCTTTTTCCTCCTTTGTAAAATGGTTTCTTTGCTTAAATTTGGAGTGGAAATGTTACTGGTGGACCGAGCTTAGGGAAATTCAGCCCTGCCTGACCCCTCCCCACCCACAAGCACCTCCTCAACCCTGGACAGAGTCTCTCTTCTGAGCTAGGAGGGTCCCCAAAAGGTTCTTCCTCCTTGAAAGGGCCACCTGGAGCCCCCCCCCCCCAAACCCCTCTCCCTACCTCCTCCAAAGGGTAAAAAGATGATGAAATTCAAGTCAGGTTCTGCATTTAGGCAAGAAAAATAAAATGCACAGGTACTGTATAGGTGGTACCTTTCTCAAAAGTAGTAACTGTGAGAGGGATCTTGGAGTCCTAGTGGACAACCATTTAATCTGAGCCAGTCGTGGGCAGCAGCTGCCAAAAAAGCCAACACAGTTCTAGGCTGCATCAACAGAGGGATAGGATCAAGATCACGTGAAGTGTTAATACCACTTTATAAGGCCTTGGTAAGGACACACTTGGAATTCTGCATCCAGTTTTGGTCGCCACGATGTAAAAAAGATGTGGAGACACTAGAAAGAGGGCAGAGAAGAGCAACAAAGAAGATTAGGGAACTGGAGGATAAAAACATATGAAGAACGGTTGCAGGACTGGGTATGTCTAGTTTGATGAAGAGAAGGATTAGGGGTGACATGATAGCAGTCTTCCAATATTTGAGGGGCTGCCCCAAAGAAGAGGGAGTCAAGCTATTCTCCAAAGCACCAGAAGGCAGGACAAGAAGCAATGGGTGGAAACTAATCAAGGAGAGAAGCAACCTGGAACTAAGGAGAAATTTTCTGACAGTGAGAACAATTAACCAGTGGAACTGCTTGCCACCAGAAGTTCTGGGTGCTCCAACACTGGAACTTTTTAAGACGATGTTGGATAAGCATTTGTCTGAAGTGGTGTAGGGTTTCCTGCCTAAGCAGGGGGTTGGACTAGAAGACCTCCAAGGTCCCTTCCAACTCTGTTATTACTGTTCTGTTACTTTAATTAAAAGAAGGACTAGGGGTGACATGATAGCAGTCTTCCAATATCTCAGGGGGCTGCCCCAAAGAAGAGTTGGGGGTTAACCTATTCTCCAAAGCCCCTGAGGGTAGGACAAGAAGCAATGGGTGGAAATGAATCAAAGAGAGAAGCAACCTGGAACTAAGGAGAAATTTCCTGACAGTGAGAACAATTAACCAGTGGAACTGCTTGCCACCAGAATTTGTGGATGCTCCAACACTGGAAGTTTTTAAGAAGAGATTAGATAACCATTTGTCTGAAGTGGTGTAGGGTTTCCTGCCTAAGCAGGGGGTTGGACTAGAAGACCTCCAAGCTCCCTTCCAACTCTGTTCTATTCTACCTTTCTAAAGATGATGTTCTCCATTCAGACGTGACTGACTCCTGTTGACTCTGTAGGCCAGGTGGTCTCTCCACGCCTCCCGATCTTCTTGCGCTGCTTCTTTGAATTTTCCGAAGCTCTGGCCGTGTCAGCTTTGACATTGTCCAGCCACCGAGTTCTTTGGCCGGCCTGGTTGCCTTTTACCGCTAAGTCTTCCCAACAAAATTGCTTTCTCCAGAGAATTCCCCTGCATCACACGGCCAAAAGAAGTGAAGTCACGCTTTTGTGATTTTTTTTTTTTTTGCCTTCCAGTGACATAATAATAACTGATTAAAAAATTTCTTGGGAAAACTCAGAATAACAGACTTGGAAGGGACCTTGGAGGTCATCTAGTCCAACCCCCCGGCCAGGCAGGAGACCCTACACCATTTCTGACCGATGGCAGTCCGGTCTCTTCTTGAAAGCCTCCAGGGATGAAGCTCCCACAACTTCTGAAGGCAACTTCTCTTCCATCGGTTGATGGTTCTCCCTGTCAGAAAATTCCTCCTTATTTCTAGGTTGAATCCAGGGGTGAAATGCTACCATTGGGCCAATTCGCCCGAACCGGTAGTAAAAAATGCTTTAGAAAACTTTTTTAAAAGGTTCCCAAGATCTCACACCACAGGTGATTTCAACCCCCCCCCCCCCCACTGCTGTTCTACTTACCTTCCCAAGCCTCCTTTTGGTGCGAACTCCACATGCGCAGCTAGCGAACAGATCCAGATTTCACCACTGTTGAATCTCTCCTTTTTTCCCCCCAAAAAAAGTTTTTATTTTTATTTCTCATACACATATTTACATATATAGTCATTTATCCACCATTTTCCATTCGTCTTAACTTTCAATCTTTGCTTATTCGGGGCTGCTCCTTTACCATTTACCCTTCTTTATTTTGCTACAAATTTTCTTCTTCTCCTCCCCTTCTCTTCCTTCCTCTCTCTCTCTCCTCCTACTTTCTTCGTTCTTCCTCTCCTTCTCTTTCCTACTTCCCCTTCCCTTCCCCCACTCCTCTCTTCTTCCCCCCTTCTAACCTTCTCTCCTACTCCTCTTTCCCCTCCCTTTTCTTCCTCTCCTTTTCCCTTTCTTCTCTCTCTCTCCCTCTCCTCTCTTCTCTTCTCCCTTCCTCTCTCTCTCCTCTCTCTCCTCCTTCCCCTCTCTCTTGTTGTTTCCCTTTTCAGTTTTTTTTTTTTTTAAATTTGATTTATATGCCGCCCTTCTCCGGAGACTCAGGGCGGCTTACAGTGCGTTAAGCAATAGCCTTCATTCCTTTTGTATATTTTTTATACAAAGTCAGCTTATTGCTACCCCACAAACTGGGTCCTCAATTTACCTACCTTAAAAAGGATGGAAGGCTGAGTCAACCTTGAGCCTGGCGAGATTCGAACCTGCAGTAATTGCAGGCAGCTGGTGTTAAATTACAGTGCTTAGTCTGTTGAGCTATTCAGGCTCCAGTTCAGTCTAGAATGGTGTTTGAGCAGCCCCAATTTTCTATTTATCTCTATTCTCATGCCTAGGTAAAAGGAAAAAGGGAGGGGGGGGTAAAAGAGAAAAAGTGAGTTTATTATAAAAATGTACACAAATGATGAAATAGGTATAAATATTAATCAAATAAGAAATTGAAATGTGGTTGAATCTCTCGTTGATCAGTTTCCATCCATTGTCCCTTGCCTGGCCAACACATGTCTGGTGTCATATGCTCCATACCTGCTTCTTAACAATAACAGAGTTGGAAGGGACCTTGGAGGTCATCTAGTCCAACCCCCTGCTCACGCAGGAAACCTGTACTAGGGATTCGAACTGCGGAACTGCCAATCTTTCTGATTGACAAGCTCAGTGTCTTAGCCACTGAGCCACCTGGTCAGCCCCTTTTGCTGTCCCAGGAACACGCAGGCACCTTCTCCAGCACCTCCGCTCAAAACTTTTCTTCCTGTCTTGCTTTCTTAAGGTCCAACTTTCACAATTGTTTTTAGATATGGGGGAACATAGGAAGCTACGTCCCCCATAGCTACGCCTCACTGTACACAAATGTACAAATTAAAATGCAAAGTGGCCAAGGAAGGTCCCACAATCGACAACGGTTGTTGGCACAGCCAATTTAACCGCTGATTCTTCCCAATGCCATTGCTTTCTACAGACGATTCTCCCCCACAAATGACATGGCCAAAATAAGTGAGATGCAGCTTTTGTGGGTTTGCCTTCCAGGGACACGTCTGGTGTTTGCTTGTTAGTCCCCTTTGGTGTCCAAGGAACACGCAGGCGCCTTCTCCAGCACCCCAGCTCAACCGATTGTCTTCCTGTCTTGATTTTTGAAAGGCCCAACTTTCACAGCCATCTAGGATATCATAGCCACCCTACCAACCCTTTCCTTTCTTTCTTCCTTTCCTTCTTCCTTTCTTTCTTCCTTTCCTTCTTCCTTCCCTTCCATCTTCCTTTCCTTCCCTTTCCTTCCCTTCCTTTCTGTCTTCCTTTTTCTTTTCTTTTCTTTTCTTTTCCTTTCCTTTCCTTTCTTTTCCTTTCTTTTCCTTACCTTCTTCCTTTCCTTTCCATCTTCCTTCCTTCTTCCTTCCCTTCCCTTCCCTTCCCTTCCGTTCTGTCTTCCTTTTTCTTTTCTTTTCTTTTCTTTTCTTTTCTTTTCCTTTCCTTTCCTTTCTTTTCCTTTCTTTTCCTTACCTTCTTCCTTTCCTTTCCATCTTCCTTTCCTTCTTCCTTCCCTTCCCTTCCCTTCCGTTCTGTCTTCCTTTTTCTTTTCTTTCTTTTCTTTTCTTTTCTTTTCTTTTCTTTTCTTTTCCTTTCCCTTCCTTTCTTTTCCTTTCCTTCTTCCTTTCCTTTCCTTCTTCCTTTCCTTTCCTTTCTTTTCCTTCTTCCTTTCCTTTCCTCCTTCCCTTCCCTTCCCTTCCCTTCCCTTCCGTTCCCTTCCATCTTCCATTCCTTTCCTTCTTCCTTTCCTTTCCTTTCCCTTTCCTTTCCTTTCCTTTCCTTTCCTTTCCTTTCCTTTCCTTTCCTTTCCTTTCCTTCCTTCCCTTCCCTTCCCTTCCCTTCCCTTCCCTTCCCTTCTATCTTCCTTTCCTTTCCTTTCCTTTCCTTTCCTTTCCTTTTCCTTTTCCTTTTTCTTTTCCTTTTCCTTTTCCTTTTCTTTTTCCCTCCCCTTCTCTTCCTTCCCTTTCCTCCTTGTCCATCACTCCAAAGGTCAGGAGAAACCAGCGGGGAAACTGATCTTGGGGCAGGAAACGGAGGGCTGGGGAGGGGAGGGTCTTCTTGGCTCTGGGCAGGCTGCAGTACAGGAAGTGAGCTCCCCACCAGATGGGCAGGGGGCAAGGAAGGAGGAAACCCTCGTTGTCCAGAGCTCTTGGCACCGAGAAGCTCTTTGCCCCTTGAAGGAGGCGCTGCAATGGGCGAGCCCAATGAGCTGCTTAATGGAGACCATCTGCACTCCATTTCCTCTTCTTCCTCCTCCTCCTCCTCTCCTCCTCCTGGCCATTTGCAAGGTCTGCCGGAGAGCTGACCACCAACAGACAGGAACTGCTGTATGCACAGGGTCTCTTCTTCTCCGTTGGCCAAAGGTCAGCCTCCAGTTGGAGAAGACCCAAGAAATGGCTCTCTACCAGAGATAAAACCGAGCATCTTTGTTCCCTGTTTCAATGCATCCGGTTCCAAAGCCAGCAGGAATAGATTCCTTCCCAGCAGGAATTGGGAGTTTTCCTTCCATCGGGGCCCATGCCTGAATGGGGCGATTCGAACTGTTTTTGAGGACAAGCCATTACGGCGCTCTCTCTCCTCCGACGGCTGTAGGGTTTGGCTCCCGCATCGGCCCCTCTGGAGCAAGTATGGGTCAGGAGATGAGCCCGCCCGATTTTACGGTTGGAAGGAACCAATCCAGGATCCGTTGTTTAAACGGCGTGCAAAGTTTGTTCTTTTT